AAAAAAAAGAAAAAAAAAATCAGGTCATCTGCAGTTAATAACTCGTTCCCGTAAAATTGGTGTCACTTATTTCTGTAGCAGACGCCTAATTCAGTCACAGGCTTGATTGATTTGACAATAGAGAATCTGCTCCAATAAAGTGGCTGATTTATTTCTGATGCTATAGCTTTTACCCTAATGTGACATCACAGCAGAATTGAGTCTTTGAAATATAAAGAAATACTTTGTAATTTTAATGAAAACCAGTTAAAGAATCTGAGAATAGATACTGGATTGCTGTCAAAAACTTACACTAAACTCTAACGCTTTTTCTTTTGGTAGAAGGAAAATGTCCACAAAGGTTATAACATAGAACATGGGTCTGGACACAAAGGCCAGTGTAGAATACAGCATTTATTCTATGAATTCAAATTGTTCACTATACTATTAAATAATAGATCTGACTTTGTCTTTATCACCATTTGTAAATCGGTGATCCTTAATTTCCTGAAAACAACCTAGACCTTCTTTGTAAAAGTGCAACATAACACCAAACATGCCTCATCGTAAAAGTAGTTTCATTTTAGATAAATAGCAGCTTGGGCAAAATCAATGAGAATCTTTGTTTCCCGAATCTAGCCCTGAGATACTCAAGCCAATCAAGAAGGCGTTTAGGATGTGAGAAATTATAACAGTGGGAAGAGTTTTTAATGCAGCATCAGAGTCAGTTCTCTAAAAATACATTTTTCAATTCTTCTCTAAACTAAAAATGTCAAGCATTTCATACTTGTTTCATTGTCTTTTTCTCCCTTTTTTTTCCTTTTTTTTTTTTTACATACTGCGCAATGCCCTCTCCCTCCAAGGGCGACTTCCCTGACCCGAGTCTGACACTGCACCATTAATGTCAGATAAACCATTTAGCCCAAGCACAATTCTTTTCTGTGCAAAAATCTGCTTGAGGTGGAAAATGTAGCAGTTTGTAAACAATAAAGAGCCATGTTTCAGACCAGACAGCTTATCTAACAGAGAAGTCCTTTCATTGGGAGCAGTGGGTGGGAGCCTCGTGGACATAGTAGCATTTCCTATCACAATGCAGGAGACTGTCTTGGCCTCCATATTTAAGAGTTTAATGGGAAGGAGGGCAGACGGGATAAAAGAGCGAGACTGACATGGATTTGCAGCTTAAACAACAACTAAGTGAAAAAAATCAGCTCTCTCTGCTCTAGACTGTCAGCCCACTTATATTTTAAATACTATTTGGATTGAAAAACGAATTTGATTTGTAAAACAGTTGCCCATGAGGAAACATGAACAAGAACAATGATTTAATACGTTTGCACTGCTTGGCGTATTCTGTTATATTAATTTATCGAGTTGCTCTTTAAAACATGTGTCACATCTTATAACATAAACTTCTAAAGATGAGTAGTAATTTCTTTATTCTCTTTTCCTTACTTTGGTTCTTAGAGAATAATTTTAGAATCTTCCAAAGAAGTTAGTATATCTTTAGGTGCTAATTCGCAAGAATATTATTTTCAAATTAACCTTTTAAAATATTTTATGAAGTTGGGTAAAGATGAATAGAGAAGAAAGGTGTTAGAATTAAAACCATTACCACTGACACTGAAGAGTCAAAAGTTGTTTAAAATCTAAGTGGACAAATACATCTAATCATCTGTATCTAGGTATCCTGAAAACAGGAAACTTGATAAACTTCCCTATCAACAATTGATAAAGAACTAGAATTCGTTTACAATGTTAAAGCATAAATATGAAATTTATCATTTTGACATCAAGATGAACACAAAACTAAGAACAACCTATGACCAAACCCACCTCTGTGGGTCTCAAAGTTGAGATGATGCACGAAGGTACAAACATATAATGTTACTCGTCAAAAATAAACTTCTGGTATTTCTCTGCTTTAACTATTTTTTGTTAAATACTTGAAATTCTTTGGATAAATTTGATAGTGATTTTTGAAAAAAATGACTGAGACTCAAGTACTGTCCACACATTAAGTATAGCTTCCAAGGCTTAAAAATAAGGACATTCTTTAGAAGCATTTGCAGTTATGGTTTCAGAATGATGTAACTATTGCTGTGTGTTTTCCTTGGAGTATGGTCCAACAGCTTGTGCCAAGAAATTTAACTTCATTTATTGACAGATTCGCAATAGAATCTGGCCAGGTTGAGAGATTTACTAATATCGTTACAAACTCACATTTACTAGAACAACGATCATTTTTTCCATCAAAACTAAAGTAACTAGCTATTGGGACCTTTTAAGCCATTATGAATTATCTTTTCATTGCTCAGGTTACTGCTGTTAAACAAACATCCCTACAGTGTAGTCAAAAGCAGAAAAATATGCTAAGTACGCCAGTATGAAGGGCATGCTGGAAATTCGCACAAAGCCTCAAACTAACACATAGCTCCTAGCTTGCTTTCAGTGAAACAGGATGGGGTCTGCCTAGACCATTAGCACTAAAGTTCACACCTTGGTATAAATACACAATCAGATTTTACATTGCAATTTGAATGCACTACTCTGATTTAAGCACACTGAGACCATTAACACTACTTATTTCTATAACACCTTTAATAAAAACGCACAGCTAACACTATTTATATATCATTGCCCACCAACAGGCCCAACTATATTTTTATATTAATTATTCACATCTCTACTTAATTTACCCTAACTTAGAAAATTTATCATTGCAACTTAGAAATTGGAATGTGTGCCTCGTGTCTAAAGAGGACACAATTTCCACGTAGATTCAGTATCACTGACATTATTTAATCAATCTTCCACATGGTTATAAAACTTAGTCCTTGACATACTATTACCAAGCATAGACTGCCAATATTTTTCTACAATTTATGATAGCTACAAGTGAACTGGCTAAATATCCAAGTTCCTAAAACAGAACTTCTGTCTAGGGCATGGTTTTCCCTTCCATGGCAAAACAAAAGCATTCAAAAAGTGCGTATTAATTTAAAATTGATCTTACTTTGTATTCTGGAATTGACAAAAGGTGGAGAGAGATTGTCATGTGACCCAAGGTCTCTGCTGGTCATATGGTCATAGGGAGTCCCATCTCCATAGTTCTGTAAATGAAATAACATTGTAAGTCATAATTTTATATTCATAAATCAGTACATACCTTCAGTACTGAAACTTCTCCTGCCCAAAGAAACTGGAGTCCACTATGCCTTCCCTGGAACCTCCTAGAAGGAACCTGCACCTTCAGAAGTATAATGGGTAGGAGAGAGCTCCAGGTCCTGCAAAGTTCAAATTCTCCTCATATTAGCTTTGAAATCTTGGGAATAATGATAATGATAACCACTGCATGGAGCTGCTGACATAATTAAATGAAATAATGCATGTAAAACACCAGACAAATGTAAAGTGTATTACAAATATTAAAAATTGTTTTGATAAGCCCACATCAAAACAAAATTGTGCTATACGGAAAAACTACCCATAGCACACAATGAATTGCTTTTGAAAGACTAAGGTAGAGCAATTTAAACAACAACATTGGGTTTTACAACATTGAAGTTTCAATGTTTTCTTACAGTTACTATTGTGGTTGTAAGAGAACTGGAGTTTTGTATAAGTAATTAACACATAAGAATGTTAAGAATATTAGGATATAACTATGAACACACATCAAAATTTTAGCATAAATTAGCATTTTCTGCAGTGGACAAACACAAAAACTGTTTTAAAGCAGACAATTTTTGGCAGAGACACTTCAGTTTTACAATTATCTCCCTGTTTTAACGGGAATTTTAAACGATGTTTTTAAGCTGTCCAGTCACTTAATTTTAATGGAGGAATTTGATAACATATAGACAAGAGTTAAAATCATCTGTATTATATAGTTCAAATTTCAGTCTACTAAAGTGCATAAAGGGACCAAAAAGGGAGGCTGGGGAGAGTCGTTCTGCTCAGCTGGTTGAACTGCCCATAAAGTCTAAGTCAAATTTACTCAGAGGTGTCAGTTGGCATGTAAGCCAAAAGGCAGAATCTGCCCACACAAAAAAGACGGATGCTGTATGAACAATGAGAAGGCACATCACCTCACTAGAGAATGATTAGAATCTTAAGGAAAAACAACTCTGCTTTCAATAGCCTTTCCTCATTTATGAAAATTAACTTGAATGATACTATATTCTAATTCTGCCAGGATGTCAATATATAGAAAGATGTCACATTTTAAATACCTAGCACGGGTTTTCCACTCACTCGTTCTATACTGGGCACTGCATAATACTGATTATTATTTATTAAGTGTCCGCATCCTAGATAGTATACTAAAAGCTTAATGCACATTATCTAATTCAATTCTCAACACAGTACTGCAAGGTAGGAGATAATATCACCACTTTTAGATGAGAGAAGAGAGACTTAGCAAGGTTGTCTGGGTATAAGTCTGAGGCAAATAATCTGTCTCATGCAAACTCCTTGGAGTTTGAAAATATAAATTATGATATATTCATTCAAAACTATTCACCAACATATTCGAGAAAAATGGCAAGACAGCTAATGAAAAGTACGTGAGTTTTTAAAGTCATTCAGGATGATTCTTAAATGGACCTTGTTCTCCGAAACACAATTAAAAGTACCATGTGTACTGAACTGAGAAATCATAAGAAATTAAGTAAATGTGAATGAACTAAACAATAGACGAGGGGGTTCTGTCATCTCTACGTGCTGTCAAGGGGAATGGATTTATTTCTGCAAGTGCACACTGTAACATGAGGAGGAGGAAAGATTTCCTCAACCCGTCCATACAAAGCATCAGAATGTCAAACTCGACAGCTGGTGTAAGGGTTTAACGAAGTTACTGGTAAGCTCAGAGATCCTGCTGTACCGTGACTTAGGGTGAGGATAGCTATTCCGAGGACAGGTGGAAATGTGTAACTATGACTTGTTGAAATGTCCTCATTTTAACAATTTGATTACCTTCCCTGCCTTTTATGCCAAAATAGAGACCTACTCCCATCCCAAATTTACTATAAAATGTTACGGCATTTCTCCTCCCTGGAGAATGCTTCATCTACATAGCCAGTTGTAGGAGGGAAAGATGTTTGTTTTACAATGTACACTAAGTCTACTTTTAACTTGGGCCATTATATGTACATCGTAAAAGCTGACATGGATTTTAGAGAGCCTAAAAATGGTTCAGTGAAAGACATTATATATTAAATCATGCCTATTTAAATTGGAAAAAAATAGAACATCCCCTGGTTCTATTTCATTTTACAAATTAGGAAAATGAGGACCAGTGAGGTGAACTGACATTCCAAAGGTCATATATGTACAAAAACACACAATGTCTAACCACACCACCCTACTCCACTCCGTGATCTTCCCATTACACACAAATGAACAATCAATTCATGGAGGAAAACCACAAAAAAGGTAACAAAAATGTGAGACCAAATCAATGAATGAATCTAACTAGTGACCAAAGACCCTATTGGTGGAATGATAAGGTTTACAAAGTGAAATAAACTCACATTCATTATGTAGATTATATCGGTAGACTAGAACTTCATACTAAGTCTTTAGGATTATTCAATAGTTTATTTACATCAATATACCACAGAAATATTAGAATTTTTAAGTTGTTCCATCTAAAACAAATATCCTTCTATAATACCTGGATCAATAACTGACAAAGCTAACGCCAAATATTTAATGCAGGATTTTTCTTCGGGTTAGCAGAAGTGGAACAGGTGTCAAATTGAAAAAAAGCACCCAATAAGAGAATGAAAAAAAATTCCAAGCTGATCCTCATTACACTTAGTATGCATATCTGTGTGTGTGTGTGTGTGTGTGTGTGTGTGTGCATGAATGAGAGAGAGGGAGAGAGAGAAATTCACCTCCTGTTTGTCAATTTACATATGTGGGATGTCTGGTTGTGGGAAAAAAGATTAGATATACTTACCCTGGACGGGCTTGGATGTCCTCCATTCCCCCAGGACCCTGAGCTACTTCTGTCTTCTACATCTAGGGACAAGCAAAAAGTTCTTTAGGCTTTCTTGCAATGATTTTTTCTTTTTGTATATGCACTTTTAAATTAATGTTTCAAATTAATCTCCTGTTGCCTTTAATTAAGAATCAGGCACAGGGCTACCATGATGATAGTGGCTTTTGACCCATCTACTTAAATTAACTCATTTAAATTCACAGCAGAAATGAACTGGACCCTCAGGAACCAGAGGTATGAACATAAAAATTACTTCCATCCTTCACCAGTGCTTGACAGCCTTGATTTTTATAGACATGAAACTGCACTTAAAAGTTTTATTAAAAGCTTTTGGACAAAGTAAGTTTAGAAATATACTAACACAACTTCAATCCCCCCAAAAAGTTAAATTAAAGAAAATATCCATAGTAACGCTTGCAGCATCCTTGCCATAATGCTCTTGGATACTTTTTGTTCTCTAAACAAGTTTTATCACACAAGGCAACAGATATGCAACAGAAAATATGGGACAGAAAAAGTATTCAGTAATCTATTTCCACTAGCACATTACAGGGATATTAGGATTTTTTTTAAAAAAATGTTTTTTAGATTAAGACAATACTGTCTCTGTCTTTCAATTTTTTTTTTTTTTTCAAACGAGACATACCACTTGCCCTGTGATCCTTAATCTGGGCTTTGAGATGTGGAAATGAAAGTTGTTATTAAATTACAAAGCAATGTTTTATTTTGATAAACGATGGTGAAAAGCCCTACATAAACCACCAAAATGTTGGGATTCTTCTACGCTCTGTACCAGTGAATTTTTAATGCTGAGCAGATTACGAAATGTTCCGTCAACACTTCAAATAGCAAATACTCGGGACGAAGTCTAACAGCTAAGTTCCCATATTAATTGCTTCAAACATAAAAGTGTTTTAAAGATCAGTCACTCTATATTTAGGTATGGCTTTGAGATTTTTTATGAAAGGGCTTTCGTAAGTATAAAAAGTTTCACGGTTCCATTATTTTGATCATGGTTGATAACAGACGGCCATCACAGACATCCTCTGACAGAACTGGAGGAGGAAGTGTGAAACTTCGGTTCAGGAGACATAATCCCGTTTATTGTGTTTCCTAACATTTCAGTGATACTGTTTATTCTCTTAATGCTCTACTGTCATTCCTTTTATTACTTCTATTTTATTACCGGCAGAAGTAACCATAGTATAATTAATTGATTTATTTTGGGGTACATTAGAGTACATGGTGTTTTAGACTATCTTAAGAGATGGAAGAATAACAAGAACTAACTTATAACCACTAAATTAAATTCTCTCTCTCTGTCTTTTTTTAATGACAAATATTATTTTTTTTTTTAGTTGGTGCTTCAGAAGATAATGCAAACTGCAAATAGATGTTCCCTATGGACAGTTAAAATTAGTGCACAGTGAGCCTTAAGGCATGTTAGACAAGCTCTCCGGACTTCATCAAGCCTAGAGAAAAGGTGTAAAACTTTCCCCAAATCTGCTATTGAACAGCCCAACATGCTGGCCTGGTCTGTATATACCAAACTAAAGTACAGGAAGAAGTTATTTACAACCCTCTGGGATGCTCACACAAATAGGTTTTGTAGCCTGCATGGTTCTCTTAATTCTTAAACAAAAACCAAATATTTTCAGCCAAAAAAAAAAAAAAAAAGATTTTGTATAAATAACAAAATTTCTCAACCACTGCAAGCTTTTCAAAAGCCTGGCATATCTTGACTTTCTTTTCACCTATAACAGCCAGCTTAGATTCATTTGAGAGATTTCTCCTCTTAAATTTGGCCAAAAAGTAATAGGAGAACAGATTTGAATCCTTATATCTATCATAAGACTTCAAATTGTTTGGACTCATTTTATCTTTTCAATTTTAAAAGAGGAATTTAAACATGAAAAGTAGGCAGAGACTTGGAGGAAAGGGGATCCACCTGCCAGGCCAGTGGTTCTCCACTGGGGACAATTTTGCTCCCTAGAGGACCTTTGGCAATGTCTGGAGACATGTTTGGTTGTCACAACTTGGGAGGGGTGTGCTCCTGGCATCGAGCAGACAGAGGCCAGGGAAAGCTGCTAAACATCCCATTACATAAACGCACAGAACAGCTCTTCACAATAAGAGATGCTCTGGCCCCACCTGTCAATTGCACCGAGGTTGAGAAGCCCTGAGCTACAGCAAAAAGAAAGAATCGAGTTGGAGAAAAGCTAGGATTTGTTTTATAATTCAGTAAGAACTCTCTTACTAAATACACAGTGTCTTAGGCATTTTAACCCAGACTTGAGCTAGAATGTTTCAAGAAACCTTCATATACATCTTCTGTCCACAGAATAAAGGAAAAATGATGGTCAACCAAGCAGCTTGCTAATTAGCGGGCAGATAAAACGCATCAAAACTTGAGTATTCCCAACTGGGCAATTTCAAAAGCGAGCAATCTACTAATTAAAAATGCTGGAAGTCTAGCTTTTTCAAAACAGGTTAAATACTGGCTGGGTTCCTTCACAAATAGATTCCCGACCAATCAGATCTGACTGCTCTTTTCCCTTCCTTTCCCATTTCCCTCTTTCCCATTTCCTGGCCTCTTAGTGCTGTACCTTCCTTTCTGCTTCCTCCCTTTTATAGCTCCCTGTTGAACAGGCTTTTCCTTCCCTTGGCCTCCTGCTAGACCTAAAGGATGAGGACAAATAACTAGCTCTCCCAAACCTAATAAATAGAACAATTGTATGAATTCTATTTTATCTTTGAAGAAAATCTATACAACTGGTGCCCATTTATCCACAGAAAGAGGAGACAACGCTAGAGCACAGATAATGGTAATTCATAAGGAATGTAAACATGTTACTTTTAAGTCATTTGTCTCCATCTTCCCTCCCCCTGAACTTCATCAGACCTGCCAGTTAGTTAGCAAGCATTTCCTCAGTAACTATCTCAGTGCATCTCAAAGTGCATTTCAAAGCGCCATCCACCTCCATCACAATCACCTGGGATGCTCATTTCAAAACTGGCTTCTTAGGGCCCATCTCAGACCTGCTGAGTCTGGAACTCTGGGGATGGAGCCAAGAAAACTGTGTTTTTAACAAGGTCCCCAGGTAATTTTCACACGCACGGGAGCTTGGGAACCACAAGACTACTCTGTTGCAAACACAAGACAAAGGCATGCCCCAAACCATCCGCAGCTGCCTGTCTCACTCCATATCTTAAAATTCCTGTCTGGGTTGTCAGTTTCAGCAGCATCCAGTACACACCCTGCTCACATCCGCATCCCAGCAGTTCTTGCCCGGACTCAACTTTCAGGTGAAGCTCGCACAGGGCCTATACTTGGTCACTCTTTACTCTCTGCTGGCGGACCTGGACGTGCACACTCTTTTATACCACCGTGTTCACACCTGCTACTCCCTCTGCCTAAACTGTTCCCGGTCTCTCAAAAACAATAAATAATAGCATCTCACATTTAGTGAGCTTAAATGTATGTCAGACACTGTGCCTCTTAAATGCCATAACAGTATCCTGATTTTATACTATGAAAAAACTGAGGCTTAGATGGAACAGAAAACTTGCCCAAGGGATCAGTGAATGCAGAGCTGGGACACAAATACAGGTGCTGTAGGATGCTGAAGCCGTGCTCTCCCCACCACCACCAAGTCTCCCTGGTAAGAATTTCACGTCTCTCTATAACCAGCTGAAAGGTTGCCTCCTGTCACTTCTCCCCAGACAGAGTGAATAGATTTATTTGGGAGTTTATACCCACTCTTGTGTCCACAAAACATAAAATATATGGAATAAATATTTGAGGGAATCAAGAGACTGGAAAATAAAAATAGGGGAACAATAAAGCCAGGGGTATGACAAATTTCTCAAAGTGCACACTGTGAAAGACTGGATATTTGCTAGAGGTGGGTCCAAATTTTAGAAGCTATTAAGTTGGCAAAGCAAAGAGTGAAACAAGATTGACAATGACCCATCAGACAAAAACACACAAGATGTTCACAAGAAATATAACTAATCCTGGTATTAAAGATGACAGAAAATGTCTGCGGAGCTCTCAACACAGAGGACAGAATGTCATGTAGTTGCCCATAGCATCAACAACAGGCACAATGATGATGTTTGTATGGCTGGCTCAATATGCTAGTTCAGTACATATACAGGAGTTATTATTAAAATAGCCATGTGAGTATACATACAGCTATAAAACTACATATTTATATGATACCAAACTATGATATATGTTCCTTATAGGAAAGAAGCATGCTTTACCTATTTAAGTACCCCTCAATATCTTGTGTGGTGGGCTTACTTGTTCCTTATTGGAATGAATTGAAACAGCACAAAGTGAAAAGTAAGACAGTATTTTGGTATGAAAAGTGGTGAGACTACGCAGTATATAGGAAGAGATGTATGAACTCTATGAAGGCAATCTAGTAACAAATGAATAACTGCCGGGTACAAATATCTAGTGAATATTTAGTTCTCGCCTCTGGCTTGTTCTGTTGCCAGCCCCTATCCAAAATGGGAAAAGGAACAGAGTCAATACACTAGGCAGAAGGAGGGAGAGGAGAAAAGCACGTGAACAATAGAAACTACTGTTCCAAAAAGACAGATATGGGCTCAATGTTCAAGATTTTTCTAATTTCTCATTTGATCCTAAACTAAGATAGACTCTGCAGTTTTCATGGGATTGACAGTTGTTCTAGCAGGCGACCTGAGAGCCCACAAATTTTCATCTTATTTGATTAGTTCTGCATGAGCCCTCTCTAAAATGTCTGACATTTCAGAGCCACATTAGTTTGGGCAAAATTAGGACCAAGTGCTTCATTTAGAGGAAAGGTACACAGATATAGTTCTAAGCTCCATGATTTCCCACTCACCTTCATTAAACTTATGATTTCATTACTCAAATCTTCACTTTGCTCATGTGGACAGTGAAACTGACACTATCAAGTAGACTGGACACACGTTAGGAAACACAGCACTGGGAGTTGAGGTGAAGACCTGGAATTCAACAGGG